AATTGTTTTTTAGCCGTCTAGAAATAGGTCAATTTTGTTTTCCTTCTGTATTTTAAAATATGCATTTTCTTCACACTATAAAGCCAGTGGCGGACACCTATGGGGGGGGTGAGGGGGGGCGACCGCCCCTCCAATACTTTAAAGGATAATGGTCTTTTGTTCCAAACAATGGGAAATGTGACATCATCTTATTAAAACAATAGGCTTGCCCCTCCCAATATTTGACCAAGTGTCCGCCCCTGTACAGAGCTCCTGCTCGACGTCTTGTTTTGAATTTTGACGTTTTTTTAGTTGCTGGGTATTTTTAAAGTGATTATGATTGTTGATAATATTTGAATCGAAGCACGTGTCAGAAGGACATAACATAAACATGATAACATGCCAACCTTTTCCTACTTAGCCATATTGCATTTTCTATCAAAGCAATAGTCATACTATTCTTTTAGTCAACGAAGGGATGGGTGCCCCATATAATAGGCTTTCTGTCTTTGGATAGAAACGTTTGCAATGTTAAGAAAGAGATTGTCAGGAGATTTTATTAGAATCAAGGAAATCATCAAGTAACACGTTGAAAACCGTTAAGGTTTTTTTCCAGAGCATCCAGCGTTGAGCGTGACCCACGACGTCGTGGATTAACCTCAGACACAGTTGATCGACCGCCACCAACAGAACCAGAAGCTAGGCAGGTAAGAAGAAATTTTGTTCTTCCATTCTGAATTGATGCTTTTCTTTCTTACATCAGCCCATCGTGTGAACAATTTGACAACCGTATCTATATTGAACCTCTACTTGTGTGTAAAGTTGGACACTGTATTTATAGTAATGTTCTTCATTGTTTAGCTAGAGCAATGAATTTTTACAGTCAATTTTTTTTAGCTTGCTAAATGTGCCTATATCCACCCTTAGCATGCCATAAATTTCATTAAAAAAATAAAAAATGAGAAAATTAAATGATCGATAAAGAAGACTGAAAATTGTATTTGAAGTTCTCTTAGATAGACTCGATCTTTTACAAATTAGGGATATAATTTTTGCCAATTGTTCAAGGGCTGTAGTACATATTGTATATGTGCTATTTTGCAGCCATATGTGAATAACGAAAAATTCTGACCAATCTGAAAAGTAGCTCAAAATAATCTGAGTTATTGTCAGTAGTTTTTTTGTCACACAAAGCTATTCAATCTATTTATCACCTTTTTGAACATTTAGATATACGACGGGAGAGTTACAAATATTATGCAGTTTGGCTGCTTTGTTCAGCTCTTTGGAATCAAGGGCAGACACGAGGGGCTGGTTCATATTTCACAGGTAAGACGTTTGTTAGCAGCAAGACAAGAATATGTAGTTCGGAAATGGTCATAACTGCATCCATGGAAGTTTGGTTATTGTAGCGAAATTTTCACGGAAGTGGCAACAATGCTTGTCTTAAGTTTTGTCCACGGCGTGTGTCAACTTAGTGATTATCCTGAGATCGTTAACGGAGTCATACTTGGGGGGGGGGGGGGGTGATTGGGAGTTATTGGTTGGTTGTATAGAGATCATAACAGAACAGGGTTAAAATTGATAGCCTTAGCAAGTTGCATTTATTAGCAGATCAGCTACATTCATAAGGTAGCTAAGGCAATTTAAAGTACGCGGTTATTCAGCGATTGATGATAGAGGTTTAAGAAAAAAGCCCTCTATCTATCTTTCTTCGATGCGGAGATGGAAAGGTTGCTGTTTTAGGATGTCTAGTGAACTACCATTTCACACAGGAAATGTTAAAGACTACTTATCTTTATTCGAAATATATCGAAACAAATTGTACGAGATTGAAGCAAAGGCTGACCTTTTTCAGTCAATCTCTTTGTCAGCAATTTGGAGATAAATACAATTGAGTTCGGTTATATCCTGAGTCATGTACAGTTTTCTATGATGTGCCTTTAGTTACGAGGCGGTACAATCAATCCTCCCTGTCCGAGTTTTAAGTGTTTATCTGTCTTTATATGGATTTAATAAGACTTGACGCACATCTGGAAATATAGTTTTCTGTGAGAAGCAAAACACTTAAGTTAAGATACCAAAGAAATTTGCTGCTAAATGAACGGTAGACTGGTAATGATTCCTTTTATCGTTACATAGCTTCGTCGAGAAGGAAGAGTTGCTAACGTGGCTGATGTTGTTGCAAAAGGGCAAAACGTCAAAGTGAAAGTTTTGTCCATAACTGGAAAGAAGATTAGTTTGTCTATGAAGGTAAGAGACGTTGCATTCAAGTTAATCATGAAAGCAGTTAGCGAAATTAGAATTTTTATATCTTAAACGAAGCCTTTTTTTCAAAAGTTTACATTGTCTTTTATAGAATGGTGGCGTTTTTCTTCTATGTTTTTTGAGCTCTGTTGACAATTGTGTATTGATATCAGTAATGGTGGACATTGGTCTTTTGTTCTAAAACAATGGGACAATGTGACGTCATCTTATCAAAACTATAGGCTAGATCCCCCTTCCCCCCCCCCTTCCAATAGTTGTCCGACCCTGGATATCAGGATCATCCACGATTTTTTCAGGATGTTGATCAAGCAACTGGTGAAGATTTGAACCCCGACGGTGGCTTGAGATCAGCTGCCAATCGACAAGAAGACCTTTCCCTTAGAAACCCTGACAGGTATGTAATGAAGCTCTTTTTGGTTTTTAGATTTAATGTTTGTAAAATTTAACTGAATTCTACTGTCTGCTTGTAGATGTAAGAAAAAGAGCTTCAATTAGAACAAAAGTTGCGAGTGTCCGTAAGATTTCTTTGCAATTTTAATTAATGCTGATTACTTTGCAATTTTTATTTCTATCGTTACTTGCAGGCCTTCGTCTTCCTCTTTGGTGCCTGTTGTGGATGACAGAGATTTCGATGTGAAGAAGAAATTTAATCGCATCTCCTCTCCAGAGAGATGGGAAATTAAACAGGTAAATAAAAGGATTATACCAAATTTAGTTAGTTTGTGAGTAAGCGCGTCAAGTAAACCTATGCTTTCATAAAGTAAATTGTGCTGGAAATTAAACTGATAAAATGCAACTGGTTTGAGTTTTATTTTCTTGTAACTTGTTAGGGGCAGTCCTAAATTTCGGATAAATTTTTGGTTTATATTTCTTTGAAACGTTTTTAATAATTTTTGTAGAATTTCTGTGATCGATCTGGAGCTGAAAGTACAAGTTGGCTTCTCTTTTCTGAATCTTCGACTGTCAAAAATTATGGATTGCTGCTAAATTCATATCGATATAAGTACCTTCCTAGACATTGACCTTTTCGATTGGCTTAAACTCAAGTCCTCTCCATTTCCTCTCCTTTGTCAATTATAATTATAATAGGTTACATGTTACAATATATAATATAGATTGGTGAACCTATATATTGAAGATTATATTAAGACAGAAAAGGATATCGTTCTTTATCCATCTTTTCTTACAGCTTATTGCAGCTGGTGTCCTTGATGTATCAGAATACCCTGATTTTGATGAAGAAAGTGGCATTTTGCCCAAGGAAGAAGATTCTGGTACGCCTTTAGTAGCTGTATGATTAAGAATATTTTGTAATCAAAATCTAGGATAAAATAATGGCTATAACTAAAATTAAGACTTCTTAATAAAGAATTCAATCTCAGGTAATTTACAAGGAAATTTCTTTGCTTCATGTTTCTAGTTCATTATGCTGCATAAAATCCATTAAGCTGCAGAAATCGATGCTACAAGAGATTAAAATTGTTTCATTTTATTTCTGTATATAATCGTTATTGTTATTTCTCTCTTACTTGCAGACGAAGACATCGAAATAGAGTTGAGAGAAGAAGAGCCACCTTTCTTGCAAGGCCAAACGAAGCTCAGTATTGATGTCAGTCCGATCAAAATTGTTAAGGTAACAAGCCTCAATTTTTTGCTACACACTTTTGTGCATTGTAGAGAGACATTGTTGTTGAAAGGTATCACTCTTAATGTTGATTCACATGATGGCTGAATGACTGATTGTTGATTCACAGATGGCTGAAGCCACTTTAGTATCTGTCGATTGCCTCTTAGCCTCCCGTAGTAGATTTTCTGCTTATATATTAAGGTTACGGTAAACGTTTGCTGGATGAAAACATCATTTTTTCGATTTTTTCACATTCAAGTAGCCGAACTTTCAAGGCACACAATGACACCAAATTTGAAACAAACAGAAATTTTGAAAGTGGAAAAAATCCCATGTAAACGAAGGTTTCCATAATTTCTTTATCAAAACTTTTAGTTGAGGCCTGAAAATCTCTTGACCTTTTAAGCCGATTATTGTTGCTTTGCGGTTGTAGTCGCATGTCTCATTTACAACATCGCATGGCACATCCATATACCCAATGTACGGCCGTGTTTATTTAAACAGGCTTATTGATCTTAAATCTTCAAGTGACTTGACCCGGATTACACTGTGGTTTACTAGTGTATCTTGCAAGTGCGATCAGTAAAATCCCGTTTTCTCCGGACTCGAAATTCCTCTACATGCAGGTACGAAAAAGCTATTATGTACCCAAGGAACCAATCGAATGGCTCAAAAATTTGCACACGGCCAGGGCAGACGTTGGGCAAACAAAGTGTGTCTCAAAATTTTTTTATTTTCTCTGGTCCGTCTTTTATACCCAAATACAGCTGCGGGAGGGTGGAAAAATTATTTGCCAATTTTTGACAGGGTATAGTTTCAAGAAGAGGAGGAATTTAGAAAATCTGAGACACACTTTGGTAGCTTAGGTCCTGCACTTCCTGCTGGTCTAAGTCAGATTTTGTTACCTCAAACGCAAGGATACATAATAGCTTTTGAAGGTGGTACACTTTTTGACCAGTAAATTCGCATGGAAAATAACATTTAACATTATTTGCCAATAATTTTTATCTGGCTAGATACGCCATAATCTTGTGCATCGAATGATATATAGTTTATCCTGATTCCTTGAGCCGTTTGGCCTTTAGGAAGGAAAAACCAATTTTCGTGTTCAAAACGTTTACCGTAAC